AATGCAATAGGATCAAATATAAAAAAATGATAAAGTTTAAAAATATCTATCAAGGGGAATTAGAATATTTAAAGTGCTGTGGGTTTAAGTTGTAAAATTCTAAAATCTTAAGTAACACCATTTACACACAAATGTGTTTAATGTGTGATAGTACTGATGAATTTATTACGTGCTGATAATAAAGACTAAGAGAAAGTGATTGAAAAATGACATAATTATTTAGGTGTATTGATTAATCCTACTTATAAACCTATTTATATATCTACATTAATAACTGTGTTTAAATCGACAAGGATAAGGCGACAGGTCAAATTAAAGTATGTGAGTATAAGTTATAAGCAAGACTATAAATAAAATAAGGTGAAAAACGTATGCTATACAAAAAGCCAAAAGCCTTTATAAATAAATAGGTCTTAGTTTTAGCTTTATACACGGTGAGGTTAGAGGAATATCTAATATATAGGGTATTGTGAGGACGTCAGAGTCTTTGGAAGTAAATAACAGCCAAGATGGAAGACAGAGTTGATGGTTATTGATGAACGTACAGCATGTTTTATACAAGCCAAGGGAGAAAAATAGCGAACGGATTACTACTGATGTGTGATGGAAACCATTTGGATTTTAACTTGAGATAGCTTTAAAAGATGTAAAAAGCTAAATTTGTTACTTATGGTAGATTAGTGATTTGTAGCCTAGTGAAAAATGTAAGACATATTGTTTGAGTAAWAATATAAAAAGTTAACCAAATAGTGAGAATTAATATTCAAAACGTCAGCTTAGGCATAAAATAAAATTAAGCCCTCAGMGGTGTAAATGTGCATGGTGGGTCTGCAGGGTGGATCTAAAATGTTTCTACACCACTGGTTGTTAGTGGTCTGACGGGCTCAGCAGCAGGTTTCCTTACTGTGCCAGCATCTGAATCAGGTTTTAACCAGGTGGTGTGAGTGAATGGACTGTTTACAGAATCTTAATTTGGTTAGGATTTAATACTTTCAAAATCAAATTGAAAGAGTCGGATTTGCCCTAATAGCTGCTGTAAGGTAACCAGCTGATTCTCTGACAGTCAGAATAGAAAACTGTTAACTCCAACACCTCTAGTCACATGTGTAGAAATATATTGGTATTATTGATACATTTTAAAAGGGATCAGTTAACATATATGGAGTTGGAGGTTTACATAAACACACTGTTGGTCTGCCAAGCCTGTTTGTATATGGAAACTACTTTATTTCGCATACGATCATTCTGAGGACGAAAACAAACAAATGTCTGAGCATTCTGTCATATCAACATCTCACTAATATTTTTAAAGTAAACTTGTTTTTAGAGGAGGCCTTAAATTGTCAGTATATGCTCATAACAGGTTAAATACACTTAGTGAAGGGTCAAATTAATCATGGGAGGTCAAAAATTTTATGTATTTAAAACTACTTGACTTTTATAAGTTGCAGTTTGTCAAACAGCGGATCTCAAATTAGCTTCATCACTTAGTACAAAATCATTAAAACAATGTAAATTACGAAAATAAATCTTACTTTTTCCATGGTGGACTTTTGCTGATCGAAGTAATCCATGTTAAGCATGATTTTTATGATAGTTTCTTTGAGGAAATATTTTCTAGTGGCAGTACATGGTTAATGAAGGACTTAATTTGTGGGGTGAAATTGGATTACAAAACTGTAATTGCAAAACTCTCTTAAGTATTTGAACTATACATGGTTTTTAAATATACATGGGTTTTAAAATATGATTTTATAGCAACAGAATAGTTGGTGGGTGAACCTTGGAGTAAACAGCCAGAGAGTAATTRAAATTACATTAAATATAGCAATTAAAATTTTACCTGCGTTAAGTTGATTTGATGAGGTAATTATGTTCACATTAAATATGATCTGAGGACGACAGGTTCTTCTCAGCACTGAAGGAGTTAAACATGGATAGTACACAGGAAAACATTATTTTAATGGCTAAATRACTGAATGGAATGAATGAATGGAAATTGTGGACTCTAATTGCATAGGGTGATGAGGAGATATATTTGAATAAAGTGTAGTGGCGAGGTTAAAAAGGTATTCTGGTTAATAAAAGATATAGTCAAAWTAGCTTGATAAGATAAAATAAATTCTATGATACGGGGTTTGAGCTAAAGGGGGTGACATAAGAAAACCATAAATAAAATWAAACATTGATAGRACCACTTCTTACCAAGTAGCACAAAAGATGAGGTTTTTCTTTTGGCATGGTTGTTCTGAGGGGTAAGGGTGTAAATAGTTGAAAGGTTAATTGGTGTTACAGCATTAGGATGTGAAA